TTGCTGCTGCTGCTGCTGCTGCTGCTGCTCCTTTTGCAGCTGTTGCTGCAGCTGCTGGTCTGCTGCTGTTAAGGCAGCAGCAATGCTGCGGAGCTGCTGCTGCTGCTGCTGCTGCAGCTGCTGCTGCAGCAGCTCAAGAGACAATCTAGATATGCGTTTGCTGTCTTCATCAGGCAGCAGCAGAACAGTTGCTGCTGCAGCACGACCAGCACTCTCAACAGCAGCAGCAGCAGCAAGCTGCTGCTGCTGCTGCGGCAGTGCAGCGAACAGCTGACCCAGAGCAATAGAAGTAGGAAGGATGCTGCTGTTTGCTGCTGCTGCTGCTGTTGCTGCTGTTGCTGCTGCTGCTGCTGCTGCGGGGCTCCGAGGGGCCTCGCTGCTGCTTCCAGCCGCATGCAAGGCAGCACCATGTGCAGCAGCAGCAGCAGCAGCAGCAGCAGCAGGAACATGAGGACCTTCAGCAGCAGAAGCAAAGGATTCCGCATCACTAGCATCCTGCTGCTGCTGCTCTTCATCTCGTGCTGCTGCTGTTGCTGCTGCTGCTGCTGCTGCTTCAGCTTGCATGCGTACCCTTGGTGAGGGCAACCCAGGAGGGGGCCGTAGACTGTTATCATTTCTGCTGCTGCTGCTGCTGCTGCTGCTGTTGCTGTTGCTGCTGCTGTTGCTGCTGCTGCTGCACGGCAGCTCCTCAATGCGGCAGTCTTCTCTTTTGGCATCAGCAGCAGCAGTAGCAGCAGCAGCAGCAGCATCATGTGCTGCTGTTGCTGCTGTTGTTGCTGCTCCTGCTGCTGCTGCTGCTGCTGCTGCTGCTGCTGGTGCTGCTGGTGGTTCCTGCTGCAGCCTGTGTCGCCTGTAGTAGCTGAGCAGCATCCGCCTGTATGCTGCATAGTCCCCTCGAAGAGCAAGCGGCAGCGACCCCCTGCTGCTGCTGCTGCTGCTGCTGCTGCTGCTGCTGCTGCTGCTGTTGTAGCTGCTGCCAGTATTATACTGCTGTCTCGCTCTATTGTTATTGTTGCTGCTAACTCCACTACTGCTGCTGCTGCTGCTGCTGCTGCTGCTGCTGCTGCTGCTGCTGGGTCTGGTGTTGCCTCCATGCACAGCAGCAACATGCATGTGCAGGTCGGTGAGGTGCCTATACACCGTAAGCGGGCACATCTCCTTATGCATGCACGGGTAGTGCTCCTTGCTGTAGTGCTGCTGCAGCTCCTCTAGCTGGCCAAACACCTGCAGCAGCAGCAGCAGCAGCAGCAGCAGCAGCAGCAACAGCAGCAGCAGCAGCAGCAGAAGCAGCGGGAGAAGATGAGTACAGATACACACAAAGCTAGCAGCAGAAGAAACAGCAGCAGCAGCAGCAACAGCAGCAAAAACAACAGCAACACCAGCAACAGCAGCAGCAGCAGGAAAAGCACCACCAGCAACAGCAACAGCAACAGCAGCAGCAGCAACAGCAACCGCAACAGCAACAGCAGCAACAGCAGCAGCAGCATCATCTCCATACCGGGACCATTTCTGCGGATGGTGGTGGTTGTGCTGCTGCTGCTGCATGTGTATACGATAGAGATGAGGAGGCAGCAGCTGCTGCTGCACCAGCAGCAGCT